AGTCGGCATCATTGCCTCTGTTTTGTGAGGTGGAGGACTTTGTGGACTGGTGTTGGGTTAATGGGTTAATGTTGGACTTGTGGGCTTGGGCAGCATTCAGTTGGGATGTTTTCGTGATGCACACTTTCTTTACATAAAACTCTCTTATACATGAGTTGCTGAGGATTTGTTTCTCTAAAGTACCTAGACTAATACACATGGAATGCCAGGTTAATAGAAAAAAGTGTTCTTGCATTGAGGGAGTACTTGAGTAGTGGTCCAATGCCCATGTGCTACCTTAATACTAAACCTTTAAATATATTTACGTATAGATCTATTTCCCCATTATCATATATAAATATATTTACATATGTACATGCCTGTATTTAGACCTCTATAAATGCCCTTTACCTATTAGCTCTTTCCTCTACTTCCTTTTACTTTCCTCTTGTTCCACTGTTTTGTTCATCCTTCATTTGGGTTTCATTAATTCCTCTAGGTTACATTGTCCTTGTTCAAACCCTACCAGACCTCCTACACCCTCCTCACCAGCAATTTTAGATCACTTGTTGTTCTCTTGTCCCTGGGTTTGTTAACCAAAAGTATGATTTAAATATATGTGTGTGTATGTTGTGTGTGTGTGTGTGTGTGTGTGTGTATATATATATATATATATATATATATATACATATATATATACAAAAAAACACACCTATCTTTATATATTTATATAATTACATGTGCACATAGCTATACTTTTACCTAAATATATAATTTTTACTTTCTTCTTCTTTCCTCTTGCCCCGCTATCATGTTTACCCAATGTTCACCTCTCAGTAATTTTTCTTGGATACATTTTAGTGAACCAAGCACAAGCAGGAACACTACACCCTCCTCACCATCAATTTTAGAGCCCTTGCTATTCCCCTGTCCCTGTCATTATTGGCTTACTGCTCCCCTGCCCCTGCCTCCTCCCCTCCAGTGCCACCCCCTCCAAAACTGTTGGTCCCATTGCTGTCCCCTTCGGATTGCTTATCCTGCCTATGTTATATACATAGAAACCAAAGAGAAAAAGAAAACAAGACAAAAATTAAAAACAACAAAACAAAGCAAAGCAAAGGAACAAAAAAACAACAAAAAAGAAAGACCATATAAATTCTTCCAAATCTAATTTTCTCATTGATGATCCTGATAGTTTAGAGTTTTACCTCAAGGTCTGTGATCCACCTTGAATTTGTTCTTGTGTAAGGAGTAAGGGACAGATCTTGCTTCATTTTTCTACAAGTAGATATCCAATTTTTCCAGCATCATTTGCTGAAGAAGACATCTGCTCACCATTTGATATTTTTGAAGCCTCTATCAAAGATCAGTTGTCTGTATGCTGCTGATTTTATTTATGGGTTTTCTGTTCCTATCCATTGATCCATGTATCTTTCATTATACCAGTACCATGCTGTTTTATGCAACAGTGGCTGTATAATAAGTTTTAAAGTCAGGTAATGCAAGCCCTTCTACTTTATTATTCTTCTTAAGGAGTTCTTTGCTAATTCTGGGCTTCTTCCATTTCCATATGAAGTTGGTCATCAGTTTTCCTATTTCTTTGAAAAAGGATGCTGGTATTTATATTGAGATTGCATTGAATGTATATAGTGCCTAAAGTAGGTCATCAGTTTTCCCATTTCTTTGAAACAGGATGCTGGTATTTACGTTGGGATTGCATTGAATGTATATAGTGCCTTAAGTAGGATTGTCATCTCTATAATATTGAGTTCCAGTCCACCAGCATGGGATATTCTTCCATTTCTAAAGGTCATTTTTGGTTTCTTGTTATG